ATATGGTTTTTTAAAAGATTTTTATTAAAATATAGCTAACATATATTATATTAGTTTCAGGTGCACACCATAGTTATTCAATAGTACCCACCTGGCACTATACAGAGTTATTACCACATTATTGATTATAGTCCCTATGCTAAAGAAGTAATCACCATGATAAGTCCAGCAACCATCTGACACTGTATCACACTAGCACAATATTATTGACTATATTTCTTATGCTGTATATTACATCCCCAATACTTATTATTTGTTTTATATCTGGAACTTTGGACCACTTATTCCTCTTTATCTCCCCCCTCCCTTTAAAAATTTTTTGAATTAGAGTTGATATTCAGTATTATTTTATATTAATTTTAGGTGTACAGCATAGTGGTTAGACATTTATAAAATTTATGAAGTGATCATCCTGACTAGTATCCACCTGGCACTATACATAGTTATTACCATATTATTGATTATATTCCCTATATTTTATATCCCCATAACTACTTTGTAACTACCAATTTGTGTTTCTTAATCCCTTCACCTTTTTACCCTGCCCCCAGCACCCCTCCCATCTATTACCCTGAAAGATCTAGTACCCATCTGACACCATACACAGTCATTACCATATTATTGACTACAATTCTTGTGCTATACCCCACATCCCCATGACTACTGTGTAAGAACCAATTTGTTTTTTTGATCCCTTCCCTTTTTTACCCACTCCCAACCCCTCTCCCATCTGGCACCCATCAAAATGTTCTCTGTATCTATGAGTTTGTTTCTGTGTGTTTGTTTATTTTGTTCTTTAGATTCCACTTGTAAGTGAAATTATATGACATTTGTCTTTCGCTGTCTGACTTACTACACTCAGCACAAAACCCTCTAGGTTCATTCATGTTGTCACAGATGGCAAGATTTCATTCTTTTTAATGGCTGAGTAATGTTCCATTGTATATATCCATTCATCCATTCAGGGACACCCAGGGTGCCTTCGTATCTTGGCTCTTGTAAACAATGCTGCAATGAACACATGGATGAGCACATCCCCTCAAAGTAGCATTTTGGGTTTGTTCAAATAAACACCCAGAAGTGGGATTACTAGGTCCTTCTTTGTCTCTTGTTATAGTCGTTGTTTTAGTCTATTTTATCTGGTATAAGTATTGCTACTCCAGCTATTTTTAGTTTGTATCTTTCCATTTTCATGAAATATCTTTTTCCATCCTTTTACTTTCAGCCTGTGTATGTCTTTCAATCTGAAGTGAGTCTCTTGTAGGCAGCATATGTAAGGGTCTTCTTTTTTTATTCATTCTGTTCCCCTTTCTTTCAATTGAAACATTGAATCCATTTACATTGAAAGTAATTATTGATAGGTATGTATTCATAGTTATTGCCATTTTATTATTCATATTTTAAATGTTTTTTCATCTTAAAGAAGTCCCTCTAAGATTCCTTTTAATACTGGTTTGGTGGTGATGAACTCCTTTAGCTTTTTCTTCTC